TGGTTTAGATCCTAAGCACTGCAGTATTCTTCCCAGGGAAACAATGACACCTGACATTTTCCTAAATGCCAGAAGTCAAAGTTTTCAAGAACTTCTAAATAGAAATGCTTGAGCGTCTCAAGGCTGGTACACTAGACCAGAGGAGAAAGCGAAACTGAATGTCCTCATGAATCTGACTAGTTTTCTTGTGTTCCAAAGATTCTTGATGACCTAACACAAAAAGCATGCCTCAAGACAAAAAAGCCTGGGGGGGGGGGGCAGGCAAGTGTGGTTGTACATGCCTTCAATCCCAGCACTCTGAGTTCAAGGCCAGCCTGGTCTGGACAACATACAGACATTTTGTCTCAAATTAAAAAAAAAAAAAAAAAAAAAAATAGCCTAGACCTCCAAAATAATGTCCTTTCCTAAGAGGCCATAAAACTCATGAAGTCAAGCTGGGCAGTGATGGTGAACATCTTTAATCTCAACACTCAGTAGGCAGAGGCAGGTCTCTGTGAGTTTGGTCTATAGAGATAGCTCCAGGAAAGTCAAGGCTATACAAGGCTAAACAAAAGCAAACAAAACACTTGTTAAGTGTCATGGTCTATGAAACAATCTTTCTGTCAACTTAGTAAATCATATTCCTGGTTATGATAGGAAGACCACATTTTGAGTCAGAATTGGTATCAAAAGATAAGCTAGTCTTTTACTTGCATTATTATTTTCTTTTCAACTAACATATTGCTTTACCTGTCCATAAAAATGTCAAGTAGAGTTAACTTACAGACTTTTCAAAATGGCTCTCCTCAGATGACAGTTGTGAAGTAGGTAGCCAAAAGAAGGAGCTGTCGCAAAGATCATCAAGCATTGCCTCTAAATCTGCAAGCTCCAAGTACTCACCAGTTAAGCCTTGGAGGTCCCATGTCTGGGAAATTGTAAAAAGTAAAAAACAAACACCATTTCCTGAATCAGTACTGTAAAAGACCATACTTCTACAACTATCGCTTCACTGCATCTCACCTCTCTTTGTAATTCAGCAACTCTCTCACTGTGCACATCAGCAGTTCTATACAGGCTGGAGTAGTCAGTATCACCATGCAGAGTAACCATGCTAGACTCAGCCTTCCCCTGCAGGACTTCTGTGTAAAAGAAAAAGAGGTCATGTTGCATAACTGCATATGCAATGCAACTGGAGCCCCCACCAGCCAAGGAATTCCACCTTGGCCTTCTTCAGCTTCCAGCAATACCTCTTAGCTCACCACAGTCAGTGATGCATCGCCAGTCAGTGTTAAAATCAAAGTGGACTTGCAACCCACGCTGACAGGTTTACCGAAAAGCTGCTCCATACAGCAGCAGATGGGACCTTCAGGGAGGTTCCTACCGTTTACATCCTTACCCAAATTATAGTCTGAGCAACCTGCAACCTCCTCAAAGGTCTGCTGCCTTAAATCTTGTAAAAACCCAAGAATCTGAAGTTGATACTTTCATTGCAAAACTAATGTTTGAAGACCCTACCTTCTCTGTAAGATCAAGATTGTTTATATCAAACTGAAATGAAGGTGACTGTGTTTCCCCAAGACCAACAGCCCGGCTGTAAGCTTTTTCACTTAAAGGAGATGATTTATGCTCTGGAATGACAGAAAGAGGCTTACTGAGTATGTTCTGAGGAGCATTAGGGGGTGGCTTTAAATCTGGATCCCGTGATAGGGAGCTACCACCATCATCTTCTTTATGCAACAATGGTTTTGAAGCTGCTGGTTCAAACACCCCAGGAGTAGACTGGTATTTTGGATGCTTAAGTTTATCCATGAAAGAGTTTTCGTCATTATAATTTAATGGGGAAAGATCTGGTCTGGGGGGTTCTCTCTCTTGGCTGTCATCTGCTAGTGGCTTACTGATGTCAGTTTGGATTTCACTTATAGGACTCTCTTGCTTGGAAGGTTCAATTGAGGCAATAACTGCCTCAAAGGCTACATTTTCAGTAGCATCAACATTTTTCTCACCAAAAGTAGAAGCTGCCTTTTGGTTTCTTTCCTCTTGAAAATAGAGTTGTCCTGATGTGTCATCCAAGTTGGATTTAACTGTCGAAAGGGGACCACCAGAAGCCTCCAGCTTCGAGAGTTCAAGTCCTCTGGAGAGAACATGTGCTTCTGAAACTTGTTCATGACTATCAGGGACAGCAACTGACCCAATATACTTTATTTCTGGAGATTTGGCATGTACCTGAGATGACGGCCACACATCTCTAATGTCCTTTTGCTTTAAAAAAGGAGAAAATTCTTTTTGCTTATCTTCGTTTTCTTCAAAGCCCTCAAAAGAATCTGTCTTCGGCCTCACCTCATCCTCAGCAGGAGGAGTCCCTAAACAAACATCCTCAAGATGGTTAACAGAGGTAAAGGAGGACCCTTTTCCTCTTTCCATCATGCAACGCAGGAAACAGTAAGACATTTTACTAGGAGGAGGATTCTCGCATGGGAAGGAAGCCTGGTCCTTACTGGCCAGACACGCGTCTGTCTGTTGTAAGGCTTCCTGTTCCCAAGACTGAGCATGTGAACACACAGAACTAAAACTGTTCTTTCTTCTAGCAGTTACGCTTCCATCACTAATATCAGACAAAGTAGAAGTGGACATCTGGTCTTTATCTGGCCGCTGAGTATCCTTTTCTGTCTGCCATGATATATATGAAAGCAGAGCATCGTAATGATCAGGGTTATTTGGGCTCTTCGGTTCATCGAAAGCATTGGGTGGTTCGTGCTCTCCATTGTTCCCTTGTTCAGATAGGAAAAGAGAGCGCTGAGACCCAAAAGTTGTGCTGCCTGTAAGTGGATGTTGAGATATACTAAGGCAACTGTTCACTATGTCTGAAGAGGTTTCTGAGGTGGCCTGGAGTAAAGCTTCACTAACTTCTGACGGCCGAGCAAGCCATTCAGTATCTTCTGACTTATCAGGAATCCCTCTGAAAATACGAAGTCATAAAGAAATAATTAGCTCCTTAATACTTTAATTTTTAAATACTAACCAAAAAAAAAAAATACAAACAAAAAAAAATTACAAATTGAGTTTACTTGAAAGTGCACTTTTGCCAGGCATTGGTGGCACACGCCTTTAGTCCCAGCACTCGGGAGGCAGAGGCGGGCGGATCTCTGTGAGTTCGAGGCCAGTCTGGTCTACAAGAGCTAGTTCCAGGGCGGCAAAACCACACAGAAACCCTGTCTCAAAAAACCAAAAACAAAATAAAAAAGAAAGTGCATTTTTGGCAGGTGGTGATGGTACACACCTTTAATCCTAGCACTTGGGAGGCAGAGTCTCCTCAATCAATTTCAACATTACAAAAAAAAAAAAAAAAAAGTTTAAAACAGACTTTTAATAAGGTTTACTATTGTAAACACATGCTACCTACTACGAATTAATATTCATCTAATTTGTATTCCTCTGCTTACTGGTCAGTTATTGTGCTTATAGTCTACTCCAAAAATACAACATAGCTTGATCACTTTGATAATCTAATGTGAACAGAACTCTGCAACTGTGATTCTACAGTAATACACAGTAATATACAAACGGGGGTATACAAGTTTACTTCCTAAACATCTAAAGTTTTGAGTTTAAGGTAGAGTTTTCTTTCCATTCTAACAGAAAACAAAGTCTTGGACAATTCCAAGTATTTTTTGAAGAATTACAGAATGTCCTTCTGTTTTGAATGTTCTAGAAGACATCAATTTGAAATGTTATAAAAATTTTACTTGATATTTGCACATAGTATAAAGAAAGCTATCAAGACTGATTAACAACAGCTGAGCAAAATCAAAGTACAGACAAATTAGTATCCTAAAAGTGACTGCTTTCTTTGCAGAGAGAGAGAGTCAGACTTAACTGAGTGTGCCTAAAGGGATACACAAAACCATACGCTATTTCTACCTGAACTGTAGTCACCTGGTGTATCTCTACATGCAAAACACTGCACCCACTTAATACCAAGAATGTGATAAGAGTGCCTAAACCCTGCTCCCGGGCCCGCTTCAGCCTGAAGCCATGCACCAATAACAACTTACAATGAGGGTATAAAGTTTAGAAATGAAATCATCCTACCTCAAAGGGGCAAATTCTAGTTCACTTTGTTGAAACAAGGAATCAGATTCAAACTCCTGGTCTTGTGGCAAACATGTCAGCAAAGGCAAATCAGGGGCAGCAAAGTTATCCTGTATGACTGTAAAGTTCCAAACGTTAAAACAGTGTCTGGTGTACTCACACAATACTTCTTAGCATCTAAACATGCTACCACCTGGGACATTCTACAGTCATTACAATAACACTAATATAACAGCAGCGGCAACCATCTACGGAAGCCGAAAGGCCCAAGCATTTAGCATACAGTATTTCAATTAATGCATGACTATGCTGAAGAATAAGCACCATTTACTATAGCTACCTTACAGGTGAGAAAACATGATTACAAAACTTACTATTATTAAACAACTTCTTCATATGTAAGGTTAAGTGTACTATACAATTTAGGTGTTTGTTTGTTAACAATTAAGGCATGTCTCTTTTTATTACTTTTTTTTAAGTGAGTAGTTAGGTGGATGGGCAGATGCAAGCATGCAATGCTACTCAAATGGCAATCAGGAGACAACAACTTACAGTAAGTAAACATTTCTCTCTTTCCATTATGTGGGCCCCAGAAATCAAACCAAAACATAAGGTTTTGCAGAAGATGCCTTTGCCTGCTAAGTCATCTTGCTGGCCTCTCAATCTTAAGTAATGTAAAATTATACCATTATATCAAAGTGTAATCTAAGGGCTCCGGGCCTTATAACACTCTTAGGTGATGAGGATGAAAATTATATTCAAAATAATATTGAAACAAGGCCTCCCTTCTAAAAAATATTTTGTTTACAAAATAGTTGTCTAGAAAACTATGCACAATGTTAAACTATGCACAATGTTAATATAAGTAAAAGTGTGGCCAGTTTTAAATAAACATTTCTTAAATTTTCTGTTTAAGTTCTACTATAAGAAGATATCACAAAAACAAATGCTCTTTGGAGTTCTGGTTCTGAAATATATAAAATAGGTATGTTACCTAAAAAGTTTGAAAATTTGCTTTCAAGAAAAAAATACCATGGTTTCCTTCCATCTTAATTCTTTTTTATTGTTGTTATTGGTTTGGAGAGGGGCATTTCTGTTTTGTTTGTTTTGTTTTGAAACAAGGTCTTTCTATATAAGCCCTTGGCCACCGAGGAATTCTCTATATACATCAGAGTGACCTCAAACTCAGAAATCCACCTGTCTCTGCCTCTCCCAAGTGCTTAAGTAATTCTTATGTCATTAAATATATATAAACAAGCATAAAATTCTTATTCCCCAGCCAGGCCTTGGTGTCGCATGCCTTTAATCCCAGCACTCGGGAGGCAGAAGCAGGCAGATCTCTGTGAGTTTGAGGCCAGCCTGGTCTACAAAAGCTAGTTCTAGTTCCAGGACAGCCTCCAAAGCCACAGAGAAACCCTGTCCAAAAAAAAAAAAAATATCCGAGTGGAGTTTGAGAGTTAAATCAGGTTAAGTAAGAAAATGTATTTTCTAAAGGAGCAGGCCAGAATTAAACAGTTAGCTTTCAAGCATGGGCAGGCTGTGCAGTTGGCTGGCAATGCCTGCCTTATACTGCTCTGAACAGTTTCTTCACATCTGGACAATACCGCCAATGTGGGGATATTTTCCCTCTATCGCCGGTTGTATCAGTGATACCTGCCATTAGTGAAAGCCTAACGCCATGGTGACAGCAGCCACACAGGACAGCAGGCATGGCATGGCATGGCCACTGGCAACGAGATGCGAGAATCCTTCCCACTGCAGCTACACAACACGTTAGGGCACAAGAAACGGCGTGGTGCAGTCTCTGGTTCAGTGCTGAAATCCATCCGAGAATCTTCCTTGACATTTTGCCATAACAGAACTTATTTTCTGTTTCTGGTGTATTTCCCTCTTTTTAAAAAGATCTCGTATTGAGTGAACTACGGCATCCTATACTTTCATGTTCTCATTTAACTTCCACACAAATTACCCAGTATTTTTGGTCAAAGGCCAAAGGACAAATATTTTAGGCTTATTGATAACATATGAGCTGTCACATACATACTTGGTCTTCACAATCTTTTAAAATTCAAATGGCAGAGGCTGTAACTTGGGAGGGTAAAGGTTTGCACAATAATCCCAGCACTTGGGAGGAGGTTAGCAGGAAGGCCTAGAGTTCCCAGCAGGATGAGAAATGTCACAACACTCTGAGAACAACTAAATTAAATAAATACAGAAAATAAGCACTTTTGGAATTTGTACTCAGAGAGAGTACAAAAATCAAGCCTCAGCCTGTGAGCTATAATTTGCAGACTCCTGTTCTTGAGACCATATTAACATTCATCCAATAGTAATGTTACCTTCTGTTTACGGACATTTATTCACAGAAAAGGAGGTACGGTTCACCTATCTACCCTTGGATCAAACACAGCAGGGACTTGGATATGTGTGAGTTAGTGACCTGTGGGATTGTGTCTCCTTAGCAAGGCAGCCTTCAATCATTTGGTCGCAGCTACCTATCTCGTCTGACCAAGGTTGTCCTAGTTAGGAGTTTCTATTGCTGTGAGGAGACACCATGACCACAGAAACTCTTACAAAGGGAAACACTTACTCGGGGTGGCTTACAGGCTCAGAGGTTTAGTTCATTATCATCATGGTGGGGCATGGCAGCGTGCAAGGAGACATGGTGCTGGATAGAGGAGCTGACGCTCTACATCTTAGCAGCAACAGGAAGTGAACTGAGTACTGGGCATGGCTAGAGCATATGAGACCTCAGAGCCTTCCACCACGACCATACCAAATGAAAAGTGCACTCAGTCTAACTTTAAAAGTCTCCATAGTCTATTACCTCTAGTTAAAGACAAAGGCATTGGGGCTGGACAGAGAGTTTGGTGGCTAAGAGCACTGGCTACCCTTCAAGAGGATCTGGGTTTGATTCCCAGCGCCCCTAATTCCGGGATCCAGCATCCTCCTCTGGCTGCCATGGGCACCAGGCACACACATGATATACACCCATACACATGAGATAAAATAAGATATATGTTAAAACACAGAGGCATTACCTAGCAATGGAGAACACAGGAGATTTAGCTTTGGTTCCGTGGCTGGCCGTTCTGACCGAGACAATTCACCTTCCTCCAGAGAGGGGAAGTCTGTTACTTTCCTCCCTTCTAGTGTCACATCGGTCCCGGTCTGGGATGTATCCCCGGTTTGGGAAGAATCCCTTTCTTGAGTAAGATGATGCCAGGGTTCTGCTCTCTGAAATAATTTTAAACAGAAAAGATGCTGAGTCAACACATTCACACTTAGACTACTGTCCACTCGGCACATTTAATATTCTCACCAGAATGGAACAAAGACAGCCATTCCTTCTATTTCCTTCCTTACTACATCAACCTCCTCCCAGACCTCCTCCAATCACTCCCAACTCCTAGTACTATATTTTAAGTTATTACTGTTAAATCAATACATTTGGCACTACATGACAAATCAATTCTGCGGTTATTTAAAAAAACAAAAAAAGAAAACAAACAAAAATACTGAATAAATATTCCCACACTCTTCATATGACCCTCTCTGATATCATGCTCCTGAAAGCTCAATAAATCCATTTGTTCAACAAAGCTGGACACCCAGGACTACACAAAGGCCTTGCTTCTAGATAGACAGACAGACAGACAGACAGACAGACAGACCGACAGGGGCTGGGAAGATGGCTCCATTGTTAAAAGCACTGGCTGCTCTTCCTCTGCATTGAGTTCCCAGCACTCACATGGAGGCTCACAACCATCTATAACTCCAAGGGACCCGACACCATCTTCTTACTTCACAGATACCAGGCATACAAGTGGTGCAGATATACACAGCAGCAAACATTCATACACATAAAATAAAAAATAAATCTTAAAAATGTAAGTAGATAAAAATATATAGAATTCACACACCTCAATAGTAGGAAAGCCATCTGACTATGGCCACAGATAAAGGTCGCCAGCAGTTTCCTGCACTTTCCTGATCTCTGCTTGTCCTGAACCCTGAGCAGGATTCTGCCCAGTTATTACTTTAGTTGAGAGATCAACTGACACATGCAAAACCCCGAATTTTTAATTTAAAACCCAACAGGAAAGACAGCCCAAATAAAGAATGGGTAAAAGCTCTAAATGGATGTTTCCATAGAGGAGATCTAGGAATGACCAATAAGCACAATAAAATATGTTCACCATTAGTCACACATGGTGAATGGGAACTCTCTTACAGTGCTGGCAACAATGAAAATGGGTTAGCCACACCGGAAAACAACCTGGCAGGCCCTTAAAGGGTTAAACACAGAGCTGCCCAATGCCCAGCAATTCCACTACCAGATATATACCCCAGAGAGATGCACTCATGTGCCCACACAGTGACTTCTATGTATACAGCAGTAGCATTTTTGACAGGAAAAAAAACAAATGAGCTTTCCAAGACCCATTTCCTCAGATGAAAAGTAAATAAACCTGTACAGTGGCAAATCGAAAGAAAAATATACAAAACTGAGAAAGAGAAATGAAAACTGCCACATACAAACAAAAACATAAAGAAAACCGTAGCACTTCTTCCTAATGAACTAGAGACATTCCTGAAATGCAGGACTTTCTAGGAAAATCATAAATTATAAAATTAACCCAAGGAAAACGTCTGTGTCTGTAGACCACGCCTGAGAAGAACCTGGAAACACTATACACACAATAATTTTGCTTCTCGTATGGCTCAAACATTAGAGAAACATTTTGGCACAACTACTCTGTCCCAGGGCACAGAAAATATTCATTCCAGCATCCACCTTTCATGGAACAGAGCACCACAGGCAGGTGAAAGGCTCAGACCGCATGCTCTTATGGAAAAAAACGGGGATCCTGTTATCAGAAGAGATGCTGAACACTAGATCAAGCTGGAGGACAGGAGTAGCGGGAGGAGGGGCTGACAGGAAACTAACAAAATTTGCAAGCTGGGTTCACAACTCCAAGAATCTCTAGTGCTTGGCTACAAACCCATGGACATCGCAGTCTCCAAAAACAGTTTCCTTCAAAATGCACACAAACTTCAAGGTGAGGTGTCTGAAACCATCTAAGCTGAAGGATCCACAACTCCAGCAGGAGAGAAAGGGAGGAGCTGGCCTCACCTCAAAGCCTGCTGACCTGAGTTCAATCCTCAGCCCCTGCCGTGGTAAAGGGAGACAAGAACTTGCTGGCGGGCCAACCTAACTTAGTCCAGTGAGCTCCAGGTTCAGCACGCACCTTTAATCCCAGCACTCTGGAGGCAGAGGCAGGTGAATCTCTGTAAAGATCACTATGTAGACCAGCCTGATCAATATAAATAAGGTGGGAAGGAATCCTTATGTACCCACATACAGGTGCATATGTGGACACATACACTACACCACATACACACACACACACACACACACACACACACACACACCAAACTTATCATTACAACAGTCTTAATACTTAGGAAGAGACAGATGACAGAGGAAATAAATCCTACACAATGAACACATCTTTAAAAATTGGGGAGGAACCAGGCAGAGTGGCACAGACATTTAATCCCAGCACTTGGGATGCAGAGGCAGCAGGTGGATCCCTGAGTTCAAGGCCAGCCTGGTCTACATAAGGAGTTTCAGAACAGCCAGGGCTATAAAGTGAAACCCAGTGTGTGGAGGGGTAGAGCTGGGGAGCTCAGAGGCACAGTTTGCCTAGCAAGCATCAAGATCAGGATTCCCAATCCCCAACCTCATAAAGCAAACAGTGAGCCACCTACACGCCCCTATATTCCCTAATGTAAATAACTGGTATAAGAAAAGCAGAAGTGGGCGTGATGGCCACAGCTCTACTGCCAGCACTTGAGGAATCCTGTCTCAAAAACAAAACACTTCCAGGGAAGGAGAGACACATCCCAAGCTCTAAGAAGCAGTATTTTTCTTCTACAATTAGATAGGTCATTGTAAACTAGGAAAACAATTTTCTCATACTAGGTATGGTAAAATGGACTAATTTAAGAATTCTTCCACTAGGTGGGCCTAAAAGAAATAAATTTAAATGTTCACAGTTATTTAAATAAGTTAGAAGAACTACTTCAAAAGTACAGCTTCACTGTGGTCTAGATGTAGATAGATAATGTAGTACCTAAAAAGTTCTAGCCCGGGTCACTTCTGTAACCTTCAAAACAACCTCAATCTTAGCACCCACCCAGCCAGATGACCTGGGCACATCTCAAGATCGGCATTTATTCACTAACCTAACCCTTGAACACTACCCTCCACAACCAAGTCATTACGTAAGTGTGATGATTTTGCTTCCTTACTAACTGTGGATGCTTTTCTGGGATGGACGGTTTGTGCCAAGCCAGTCTAATCTCAGAGCAAGGCTGTCTGGACCTCAGAGCAGCTGGGGTTCAAAGCAAGGCCTTGCTGCTTTCAGAAAAAGTTAACCTAACAAAGCCTGTCTCACGTCGCACTAATACCACTGACCCCGCTCTTTAATGAGCCTACTACACCATCAGAAATTTGGCCATGAGTGACCCACACCTACCATGCACAGATAACCATTCACACACACACAAAAAAAGAAACACACAACAAGTCCCACCAGAGGACAGGCATTGGTGGCCCACGCCTTTAGTCCCAGCACTTAGGAGGCAGAGGTAGGTGGATCTCAGTGAGTTCGAGGCCAGTCTGGTCTACAGAGCAAGTTCCAGGACAGCCTCCAAAACAATACAGGGAAACCCTGTCTCGGGAAAAAAAAAAAAAAATAAGTCCCACCAGAGATGCCATCATAACACTTGAGACAATGCCAGGAAAGCCTGCCATTAAGAAGAACCTAGAGTTTTTACTTCTTCTGACTTTTCGTCTTGGTGAGTTCATTCACACTCCAACCTTCTCTGACAAGTCCAGGTAACCTACTTCACGCATTCATAATTATACCTGCATTTTAGCACACACCATTTCTACTTATGGGGCCACATGAATTTTATCCGCCCCCACTCTTAAGAGTGGGAACACCAGGAAAGCACCAAGTACGATGTGTGGCAGAATGGGAATGCTCAAATGTAAGTTGAGTGAATTAAACACTCTCTTTAGTACCTTCACCAATCACGATCCATCGATCCATCGCATCGCTGCGATGATGGAGTAGTTGAGGTACTGCTATGCCCAATGTGACAACCATTAACTAAGCATGGCTAGCAGTAACTTGAGAAGTGGTTAAACGGGACCACTGAATTCTCAAATTTAATAATTCTTTCCCTCTCTACCACTAAAACACACCACCAGCCCTTCTAGTTCTATTTGATACTAATTAATATATGAAGAACTAATTACACGTGGCTGTTCTGCGAAACGCAACAAAGCAGTTGCAGACATTAAATCAAGAGCATGGTTAGTTTCCAAATGATCTTAGCAGGACCTCTGTAAACTCGGCTCTTCCTCCGTTTGGTCTTGACCTTATGCTTTCTAATGTTCCAAACTAGAGGTAAATAAACCACGAGTGGCTTCCATTCCAAGTCCCTGCTCTAGCGAAGCACACACAATGAACGGGGAGCTTCTAAGACAGCGCATGCAGCGTAAGCAACCTACACCAACTGCTGGGTGGAAGAGGGGGCGGTTCTTGAACTTTAATAAAAGACGACTAAGGTGCCAAGCATCTCTCCACTAGCCACAGCCGTCCCCCCGAACTCCCTCCCCAGCTCCTACCTTCTGCTGCCCAAAAGGCCTTTCTAATTGCACGCTCTGGGAGTACCGGCTCCCGGCGCATCTGTCGTTTATCTACCCTGTTTAAAAAAACAAACCACCCGGGACTCAGTAAAAGGCGGGAGAGACACCAGCAGAGATGCCATTGCCAGAAGAACCCGAGACTGCACAAGTGGGGTGTCCGGCCCGTGGGCATGGCGAGCCGCAGCGAGCAGGACCCCGAGACCCTGGACCAATTTCAGCAGAGTCCAACCAACCAACCAACCAACCAGCCAACCAATCAATCAATGAGCTCGCCCGGCCGGCGGGCGGGCGGGCGGGCGCCCTCAGCCCCGAGGCTCCCGGCCCTGCTCCCGGCTCACCTCCGTGTCGCCCAGGCGCTCCACCGGAGCGTACAGGTGCCGCGGGGGCGGGGGCGGAGAGAAAGCCCTGCCGGCGTGGGCAGGGTGCGCCTGCAGCCAGGCCTGCGCCATCTCGTCCTCCTCGTCGTCCGTGCTCTCCCGCGGCTGCAACCCGCTGCCGAAATCCAGATCCACCTCGGGCCCGTCCTCTTCGAAGAAGTCTATGTCTTCCTCTCTCGCCGCGTCCTCGGTCTCGGCCGCCGCCGCCTTCTTCTCCTCCTCCTCCCCCGCCGCCGCCGCCTCCTCCTCCTCCTGCTCCTCCTCCAGCTCGCCCGGCCACGGTAGATCCTCCGGCTCCATGTTGGCGTCGCGCTCCAGGCGGCTGTGCAGCAGCAGCAGCAGCAGCAGCAGGAGGAGGAGGAGAAGAAGGGAGGGGGCGGGGCGGGGCGGGGCGGGGCAGCGACTTGACTGGCGGTTGCGGCCGCGCGCAGGCGCACCTGCCGCCGCCGCAGGCGGGGCGGGGCGGGGCTGCGAGGGGGCGCGCGTGCGCGCGCGCGCGTTGCTAGGGACGCCCCGCGGGGCGCGCGGGAAGGCGGCGGGGAGAGGAGGGCGGCGGCCTGCGCTGCGTCACCAGACCCTGCTTGTTAAAGCGCCGCACGCTCACAATAAACCCAGGGCGCTCCCTGCTCAGCCCACCCGTTGCCTTCAGCCCCTGGGATGAGCCCGTAAAAGGCGCATTTGCAAAGTACGGGTTTTGGTTTTTGGTTTTTTTTAAAGGGTTAGTTAAGTGACAGTCTACAGCCGGCGCTTGAACCTAAGGGGATAGTTTTGCTTTTTGTTTGTTTTGGTTTGGTTTGGTTTGGTTTTTTTTTTTTTTTTTTTTTTAATGGAAGCTGGCATCGGGAACATAGTAACTGGGATTTGACTTTGCCACACGCAGTGCTGTGAGGACAGTCTATGAAACGAAGTTAAGAGGGCCCCTGCACAGCTGACAAGATGGTTCCACCAGTAAGGCACCTGGGACACAGACTAAAACCCGAGTTCGAGCTCCAGAGCCCATGTAAAGGTGGGTGGAGAGAACCGATTCCCCAAAATCGTCTTTTTTTGTGTGTGCAAAAGCACCAGAAGAAGAAGGATGGGAAGTAGCCCGTGGTGTGGCACTTTCTACATAGGGAGTGTCAAGGTGACAGAGGCCCTGTCTCAAAGGGAGAAAAAAACTTTAAAACTAAAAAGAGGGCAGGAAAGATGGCTTAACTGGTTAAAAAAAAAAAAAAAAAAAGCCTGTGTCCACCCCTTACCACCCTGCACGACAGTCTAGCAGCAAAACGGCACCTCCCAAAGCTGAAGGCATCACCAATTGGGAAACAAGTATTCAACTGACTGAAACATTGAATTAGACACTTCTAATTTAAACCATCACAGATAGACATTTGTTCCTGTCTCCCCCAGAAAAGGTCACAAATATGCCTACTGTCTGGGACAGTCCCTGGCATTTAAGGAGATGTAGTAAGCACTGTCAAAGTAAATGAACAAAGTCCAGGTTGAATAAACGGGTCAAAAGATGGTAAGTAGAACACTGGAATAAACCGGGTGGTGGTATTGCACGCCTTTAATCCCAGCACTCTCTGAGTTCGAGGCCAGCCTGGTCTACAGAGCTAGTTCCAGGACATGCTCCAAAGCAACACAGGGGAAAAAAAAAAAAAAAAAAAAAAAAAAAAAAAAAAAAAACCTGCCTTGAAAACCCAAAAAAGAAAAAAATAGTGGAATAAATTTGGCTTCCCTTGGAATTCCTAAACTGTCTGCCTACTGCAGAACTTTAGTTTTCCTCTGCTAGCTAGCACCTGGGGGCACCAGACAGGCAGAAAATGAAGAGTGCCTCCAGGTGTCTCTGTGGGTGGAGGGAAGCTAACTATAACTTGCAGTGAACTCCATCCAGGTGGCAAACCCTCACAGGATGAATCGTTGCCACCAATGGCTAAAGAAATCCACTAACAGCTCCAAAAAAAATTGATAATTATATATGACATCTATAAAAAACTTTTACTATGTATATGTTGTTTTTCATTAAATTCAGTAGCTGCCCCTCAATCAACTGCTGTCCTAATCAGCAACTGGCAACTCCATAGCTGACAGGAATTCTGTCCCCTCAGGCACCAGCTCCATCACAGCCAGGAAAGGGAACTTTATCTAGATCTCTATCCCTCTAAGGAACTCAGGATTCAAAAGTTGTGGTGAAATTCTGCTCACTCAGAGAGGCTGAATAGCTAGTAGCTAACCTCTTAGCTGAAATCTCCCCCACCCCCCAAAAGAGCATCCTTCTGCTTAGCCCCATTTAAGAACCCTAGCTACATGTGCCTCCTCCCTACCACTTCCTGTCAGATAGTTGCTGGCTCAAACAAATGTAATAAGTCTTTTTGGCATTAAACAAATGTCCCACTGCATAAATGAATGTGACACATCTTAAAGTAATATTCCACAACATATATATATATATATATATGTGTGTGTGTGTGTATACCTATGTGTTTGAAAAAATAGATAGGCAGATAAATACACATTAAAAATATGATAAAGGGCCGGAAATTAAAAAACATGAAGGAAATACATGATAAGCCAGTATATTCAGTAAGTTACTATTTGCTCTAACTTCATTTCTGTCACTGTGATAAACTACCTAGCAAAAAGCAATTTAGAGAGAAAGGGGTTATTTTAGCTCACAATCTCAAACTATTTTCAGCCCATCACACCAGGAAACTCAAGGTGGCAGGGTCACACCATATCCATACTTAAGAACAAAGAGAAATTAATGTCTGCCTGCCTCCCTCCCTGCCTGCTTCTGCCTCCTGCCTGCCTGCATTAGGAGAGACTGTCTTGTTAGTTGATGAGGGAAGACCCTGCCCACTGTGGGTGCCACTATTCCCTAGGTAGGAGGTCCAGAACTGGATAAGAATAGAGAAAGCAAACTGAGAACAATGAAGCAAGCCTTCATGAATTCATTTTTCTCCCCTCATGACTGTGGACGTGACTAGCTGTCTGAAGCTCCTGCCACCAGAACGTTCCCACCATGATGGTCTATACTCTCAAACTGTGAACCAAAATAAACCCTTCCTGCCTTGAACTGCTCTTTGTCAGGATGTCTTTGTTTGTTTTGGTTTTGGTTTTCTAGACAGGGTTTCTCTGTGGCTTTGGCGGTTGTCCTGGAACTAGCCATTTGTAGACCAGGCTGGTCTGGAACTCACAGAGATCCACCTGCCTCTGCCTCCGAGTGCTGGGACCGCCCGACCAGGATGTTTTATTATAGAAAAGAAAATAAGGCTGAGTCTTATCCAGCCTGATGACCGATTCCAGTTATACCACATTTTCAAGACCTTTTGTTAGAAACCCACTCGCAGGTGTCCATACACATCCCAGCAGTATTCTTTGGTCATAAGTAATAGAAGTGATTAGTCTGGTCAGTTTGTTTGTTTGCTTGCTTCCTTGTTTGGGGTAGGATCTCACTCTGTAGCGCAGGTTGTCCTGTATGTAGCTAACCTCAAACCTGCAGGGATTCTCCTTTAGCTTCTCTAATGCTATAAGCATCAGCTACTTGTTTGGCTTCCTCTGGTCAACATAACTGAAAAAGAAATTTATTGGAAAGGAGCAATCTAGCAAAACAGACCCATTCACTTAATTCACAGTCTAGAAACATTGAATAAAATACTATTTGAAAGCATCAGCATCGTGTGGCTAAACCACCTTATATGAGACAGAATGAAATTACAAGAAACAGACAACTGCATACCTTATACGTACAATGTAAGGTGAAGCAAGAGGTATTGTGAGTTACAAATTGTCTCTTATTATGGGGATACAAATGGGACTCAGAGGGAAACATGGCCTCACACAATACCAGACAAGGTGGAAGCTCCCGTGCCCTGCTGCTCTGCCTTGGGGAGATGTGAACCACCCCACAAGCTTGCTTCTGCTCTCACCCTCCAAAAGAGCATACCGTCTCTCTAGTTCCCTTTGCTAATCAGAGTCAACTACCCTTGCCAAGTAGAAAGCCCCTGTCTGGCACGAAAAGTAAACCCACTTCCAGTTCCGTGGAGCCCTTGTTGTATTCATGTTGGAAACTATGGATCCAGAGACACAGAGGAAAAAAAAAAGTCACAAGATTCAAAGACAATGAAACACGCATTTGGCACTGCAAACTAACAACCACTTTTATTTACTTGGTTCCCAGGACCATGAACTCTGACTGTGAAAGAAAATGTCACTATTTCTGAAATGGTGACATTTCAGAGGTAAGGTACCCACCCCCTTCCCCTGACTCCCCTGGCTGCCTCATGTCTGGGCAGCCCACTAAATGGTGCTGTAAGCTAGCTCGTCATGAGAAGACATGCGATTTCCGTGGTATTCTTCCTTCTTGGGGTATTAGGCCAAGTGAGAGGGGCTTATGTAGAGATTTAGGTGTGAAGGATGATAGGGACTTGTTATAAAAGCCGGGTCACATGATTAAAGAGGCTGAAAGGTCACGCCACAGGTTCGAGACTTGGGGGTCTTGATCGAAGGAATCTCATAAATAACTTTCAGTCTGAAGCATAAGAACTCAAGAACCTGATGCAAACCAAGGACTGCCGTTCTGTGGTTCAAGAGCAAGGGCATAAAATATCTGGGCTCCACAAAAGTCAGAGTTCACCCAGGCTACCAGCTGATTGGATAATGTCAGCCTCACTCAGGCCACCAACCCACATGGTACCTTCTAGAAAAACTCCCTTAATTATCCTTTAATTCTAGCACCTGTGAAGCAGAGGCAGGCATATCTCATTGAGTTCAAGGCCAGTCTTTTGTTTGTTTTTTGTTTTTTGAGATAGGGTTTCTCTGTAGCTTTGGAGCCTGTCCTGGAACTCACTCTGTAGACCAGGCTGGTCTCAAACTCACAGAGTTCCACCTGCCTCTGCCTCCCGAGTGCTGAGACTAAAGGCGTGTGCCACCAACGCCCAGCTGGCCAGTCTATTTTCTATACTGGAAATTCCAAACCAACCAGAACTACATAATGAGACCCTGTCTCAACAAACACACAAACAAACAAACAAACAAAAACCCCTGTAGTTTATAATTTTAGTATAAAAGGGGATTACTACTTCCATTAAGCCCTTTCTACCACAACAAACAATTTTAAAGTCAGGAAACAAAGTGCATTTTTCTGTCAGTGCCTGGAGATCTCTACTTTAACTGTAAAACTCAAGAACTAAGGGAAAAAGTCACAGGATGTATTTGAAGATCCATTGAGCCACTGTGAAAAGAATGTCAAGGGTCTGGGTGGTGGTTAAAGGGCTTGCTACACAAATACCAGGTCTTGAGTTGGATTCCCCACATCCATGTAGGGGTGACAGCAAGTACCTGTAGT